TATTTATAATAATTTATAATAAGAAATAAATATATACCTATATATACCTTCTATATTTTATAGAAAGGGATAAAAGGTGTTATATAATGCAATATCATTGAAAACAGGTCAAACTTATATGTTAAGTAAAGAGACCGTGGGTAGATTATAATATCCCGACAGAGTGGTCCAATGATGGGTGTCTGAAATGATGCTTAATGTGCACTCGGAAATAATATAAATATATATATTTATATATTTATCACAAGGCTTATTTATTAAATATCTTTATAAGGTTAAAATAAGTACATGGTATAATTTATGTTAACATATTATATACAACTTTTAAGTTATATAATAACAATTATATAAACATTTATAATGTTTATAACATATTAAATGTGATATTGTGAATAAATTATATTATTATTTTGGCTACTGTAATTACTAATTTATTATCAGCTATACCATTTATAGGACAAGATATAGTTCCGTTTATTAAAAATCTTACCATTATATAATATAATGACCTATTTCTAGGTTATCTTCCTACCCCACGAAAGTGGGGAATGGGTTATATATTATATATAAATATAATAAAATAAATAAGATGAGCGGCCATAAATCGTAAGATTTATAGGAAAATAGGGTGAATTGCGAGGAACTCCATACAAATATATGGACAATTCGCAGCGAAGTATTATCTATATGAATAATATAAAAATAAATATTATAAGGATAATAAACGTTCAACGACTAGTTAATGAGTACATATAACAATAAATTAACCACGAGCGCCCTACATCCATATGTATTTAATATAAATAAATATGGATGATAATATAGTCTAATAAATATAGTAATATATTTTTCCCCGCCACCAAGAATTTGGTGGCTATATATATATATATTTAAATGATATATATATATAGGTAAGTTTTATGTCATCTGAGGAGGTTTCTCTGTAAGTAATCCAACTATACAAAGATTCTTTGCTTTACATTATTTATTACCATTTATATTAGCAGCTTTAGTTGTTATGCATTTTATGGCATTACATATACATGGTTCATCTAACCCTGTTGGTATTTCTGGTAATATGGATAGAATCCCAATGCATAGTTATTTCGTCTTTAAAGATCTTGTTACTGTATTCGTATTTATCATAATATTTAGTTTATTTGTATTCTTTTCACCTAATACTATGGGTCATAGTGATAATTATATACCAGGAAACCCAATGGTAACGCCACCATCGATCGTTCCTGAATGATATTTATTACCATTCTATGCTATATTAAGATCTATACCAGATAAATTAGGTGGAGTTATTGCAATGTTTGGTGCTTTACTTATTTTATTAATTTTACCTATAACAGATAGATCAGTTATTAGAGGTAATACTTTCAAAGTTTTATCTAAATTATCTTTCTTTTTATTTATATTTAATTTTATACTTTTAGGTAACTTAGGTCAACTTCATGTTGAAGTACCATTTATTGAATTAGGGCAATATGCTACTGCTTATTACTTTGCTTATTATCTTATCTTAGTTCCTGTTATTTCTTCTATAGAAAATATTTTATTCTATATTGGTAATAAACTATAGTTAACTATTAATTTAATACTTATACATTTATTCATAGTTTTATTTTATATTTTATATATATTCATTGAAGGAGAAGTAATGTTTTGTAGTTTAAAGGTAGAACATCACTCTTCTAAAGTGATTATTTGGGTTCGAATCCCAACGAAACAATATTTTATATTAGTTTCGCCACTAAATATATGGTGACCATATATATATAATATTTAAATATATATATATATATATATAAAGAATATAATATTATTATTAATAGTAACGCACCGAAGGGGTATAACTATTAAAATAAATAATTTTCCTACGGGATATTATGATCTATTTTGAGGTTATCAATTTCCAAAGGAATAAAATTAAAAGGTTATTCGATTAGTGGTAAAATCATGGATCTTACACATCCAAGCCGTAGGTTCAATTCCTACATGACCTAATAAGAGTATAGCTTAATGGTAAAGTCCGTGTCTTCAACACATGTTATAGTAGTTCGATTCTACTTGCTCTTGTATATAATATATAAATAGTCTTTGTAGCTTAATGACCCTTTAAAGAGGTTATCAAGCAATGAAGGCTCTAAGGCCTTTGTAGCTTAATTGGTAAAGCATTCGCTTGAAGCGCGATGGTTGCGAGTTCGATTCTCGACGTAGGCAATATAAATATAAACAAGAGTTAGTCGTCTAATGGTCAAGACTATTGCCTTTTAAGCAATCTATATTGGTTCGATTCCAATCTTACTCATACCTTAATAAAAATAAATATAAAAGTATATTAAAAAATATAAAATAAAAATAATGACAAATAATGTAAGAGGATATATACAATTACATCCATTTCATTTAGTAGGTCCTTCACCATGACCTATATTTACATCATTTAGTTTAATGAATTTAGCTTTATCATTAGGTTTAACAGCACATGGATATATAAGTAATAATATATTTATATTTATAAGTTTAATAACTGTATTATATAGTATGACATTATGATTTAAAGATATTATAGCTGAAAGTACATATTTAGGAGATCATACTATAGCTGTAAAAAGAGGATTAAATCAAGGTTTCTTATTATTTGTAGTTAGTGAAATATTAATATTTAGTTCATTATTCTGAGCTTATTTACATTCTGCTTTAAATCCTACTATGGAAATAGGTATGAGTTGACCTCCTATGGGTATAGAAGCTATTTCACCAGCTGAATTACCTTTATTAAATACTATTATTTTATTAGCTTCTGGTGTTACTATTACTTATGCTCATCATGCTTTAATTAATGGTAATCGTTCTAATACTTTATATGGTTTTATTTATAGTACTTTACTTATAGCTTTATTCGTTTTCTGTCAAATTCTTGAATACTCTTTTGCCGGTTTCACTATCTCTGATGGTGTTTACGTTGTAGGGAAGTACGCCGATGGCTGACGGTCTACGCGAGTCGAGCAGATCCAGAAAGGTGTCCTTCAACTCGCCAAGGCACTTGGCTTCCTCCATACACAGGCGAAACTCGTGCATCTCAACATCAACCCGGATGCGATTATCATCAATACCAAGGTAATACGCTTGACCGTGGGCGCCCGTAGACAATGCTGATATGCGTGCACACGGGACAGGGAGATTGGAAGTTGTCGGGCCTGGGAATGACGTTGTCTTTAGGATCGCACACGACTTCCACGGCAGGAACGAGCACGGGAACATGGGTTTACCCCGAAGTCGATACGAGGCTGCCACCGCAAGTTCAATGGAAATTCGACTACCTCGGTACGTACCTCTGTGTGTCGCCGCATCCATTGACCTAATACAACATTCTATAGCGCCGGAATACGCACTCGACTCTATCCTTTCCCCTGCAAACGATCTTTACTCGCTCGGATGCCTCCTCTATGCGGTCCACCTGGGCGGTTCTCCGCCGTTCAAGACACACAACTCAATGCAGGGCTTGCGGCAATGCGTGGAGCGCGAGCTGGTCACTGAGCGTTGGAAACGCGAGGCGAGATTCATTCAGGCGGGGCAAGAATTGAAGGGTCCGTTCCGTTGATAGGCAGGTTGACTGGAGCCTGACCTTCCCTCTCTTGCCAGACATCCTATCAAAACTCATCACGAGAACCCCACAAACAAGACTCTCCCTCGCCGGTCTCCCGGCCCATCCGTACTTTTCGTCTCTCGCCATCTCCACCCTCAACTTTCTCGACGCCGCAAACTTTGCCAGCAAGTCGCGCGAGGAAAAGGCAACGTTCTTGAAGGGCCTGCTGAGAGTACTTCCTGGATTTTCGGAGAAACTGCGAAGACGGAAATTGCTGCCGGGGTTATTGGACGAGGTACGTATGCTTGATTGACATGAGCAGCGGCATACGCGCTGATCAAGGGTATGCGCGAGAGTAGATGAAAGATCATTACCTCCTCCCATTTCTCCTTCCCAACGTATTCGAAATCTGCAAATCCGTGTCCACAGACGAATTTGCAAAGGTCCTACCCAAACTCCGGCCCTTGTTCGGGTTGAAAGATTCCCCGCAGAATCTGGTCGGTGAGTACGGCGGGACAAGACGGTCGATGGAGGCGGCGCTGACACCGGTTGATGGGCCATCGCGTAGCCTTGTTGGAGCATTTACAGCTCTTCAAGGAGAAAACGACCCCTCAGCAGTTCAAAGAAGGTGAGCCTGCCTCTGCCCATTACCCCCTTGTAAAAGAGCCTGACGACCAATCACGCGCGCTAGACGTCATGCCACTCATCTACAACTCGCTCGAATGCGACCATCCACAAGTGCAGGAAAAGGCACTCAAGGCCATTCCAGCGTTTTGTGAAGCCTTGCCGTACGATATCCTGGAACAAGTGTTGCTCGTTAAAGTTGCTGTGGGTGACGTTGCTGTCTATGAACGAGGTAACTCGCTGACTTCACCCCCGCAGATCTTGTTCACAAAAACGCGTATTCTCAGCGTCAAAGTGTGCACGCTCGAGTGTTTTCTTTCCATGGTGCCGATCTTGACCCAGGTAGGCCGCGCTGCTGCGTGTCGGCAATCTGGTGCTGATATCTCACCTACAGTCGGTCTTGACGCAAAAACTGGTTCCGCTGCTTGCCAAGATCCGAACAAAGGGTGAGCTATAGGCGCGGTGTTACTGACTGGGCATGTGGCTGATATCTTTATCGTAACAGAACCCACTGTCATGGTTAGTGCACCTCTTTACCGCGCTAGACAACGCCTGACACGCGCCATAATAGATGGCGACATTGAACGTCCATGAGGCTATGGGCATGAAAGTCGACAGGGAGGCTGTTGCTGGATTGGTATTGCCGCAGTTGTGGACAATGTCCATGGGTCCTTGTGAGTCATGCACTCGACAAAACATAACGGCGCCTAACTACTGGTCGTTAGTGCTCAACGTGGATCAATTCAGCAAATTCATGAGGTTAGCCGCGACGACGCACGTTCCCGGTTGTATGCTTACCGATCTATCTTGCAGCGTCATCAAATCTCTAGGAGCCCGCGTGGAGCGGGAACATATCGACCATCTTCGCTCTGTCAGGCACGCAGAAGCACAGACTGCGTCGCTAGGGATGCAGAACTCCGGGTGGGAACTCGGGCACGAAGCGACCGAGGTGGACTTTGAGACGCTCGTCGGTAGGAGTTCCGGGTCCGGCACACCGCACGGCGTTGCGCCTGCTGCTGTGGGGTCTCCCTCAATCCTAGATGACGGATGGGGCAGCGATATGGCTTGGTTGCAGCCGAGCAAGCCGAATAATCCGGTAAGTCGCGAAAACGGTGTACGGACAGAAGCGGTATTGACGCCAGTTGCAGACAATGGATACGCTCTCGTTACAGACTCCTCCACACGCACCGATATCTCGCCCATCCACAACGTCGTCTAGTTTTTCAAAGTTGAACGCCAGACCCGTCCCGTCCTCGAATTTCGACCGCTCCGCATTCCCCGTAGACTCGGCGTCTGCACCTGTCCCAGCGAGCATCCCTCCGCCGTCGATACCACAGTATAACGCATTACCGCCTCTCGTCCCTACGCCGCGGAAAAACGGCATGGCCAACGGGATCGCGTCCCAGGGGCCGAATTATAACATCTCACTGGCACCGTCTTCCACTCCCGCCGGGTTCTCCAGTGCATCTCCAAGCTGGTCGACAAGTAGCCCTTCCTTTGCCCCGCCAATACAACATAACCCCTCCCTGCCGCCGGGATTCGGGTCGGGCATCCTTCAGCCTGTGGTGAAACCGCAATGGAAGCCTGCGCCGGGCAAGACGACCGATTGGGGCGACTTTGACCCGCTCAAGTAGCCAGCGTGGCAGATGAAGTATTGTATCACAAAACACATGATATGCATGGATCACTAGACTCTTCAAGATAATGTACACGGAATTTGACAACCAGTTTTACAGGCGGGGATTCCCGGGCACGCTCAGTTCCCCTTTGCGGCCTCGACTTTACGTTGTTCCTCGGCGTTGTACCACTAATCGCGAAAATGGTCAGCTCATGTTCACGTGGAAGCGCAAGAGGACACCTACCTCCATGGTCCTCTTCAATCCTTCTTCCACGCCGACGACCGGCTCGTAGCCCAATAATCTCCTCGCCCGTTCGGCATTGTAATACCGTTTCTGCGTGGCAAACTTTACTCTAAACCTTGTGAAACCCGCTTCCTTGCCGGTAAGCTTTGACCATGCTTCCGCGAGGGTGGCGAGCACGATCCCGACGGAGGATGGGAGGGCGATGGTCGAGGGCGAAACGTGACCCATGGATTTCCAGACTTGACGCGCAAAGTCCCAAAAGTACATGGGTTCGCAGTTGGTGATGAAGAATGCTTGACCGGCGACGACGCAGTCGCGCGAGGGGGCCACTTCGTTTGAGGAACTCGTGGAAGGCTCTTCGTCCCCGCTAACGACGGTGGAGAATTGGTCCATCTTAGTCCGCAGGACGGGACGCAAGTCGGGCTCTTGCTCGTCTTTCAGATCCTTGTGCTTTACAAACTCTTGCGCCGCGCGTTGTTCTGCCTCGGTGGCGATTTGCGACGCTGCGTCTGCCGCGGTGGAAGGACCGAGGGGCTTGGCTCTGCTCGTGGGCACCCGATGGTCTCCCGTACTCAGGCACACGTCGGGAAGCGGGTACGTGAAATCTTCGGGCGTGACCACGCTTCCGAGTTTATCCGCCGCGAGGAGATGGGCGTGAGCGACGTTGCCTACATACGTCCAGTCAAACAAGTTGTCGTTGGAGCCGATCTGGAACCGGGTTTGTTTGTTCGTAATCACGCTCTTGAACCCTGCGAGTTGCTGGCGGTCATACGGCCCAAAGATGCCAGCCGGTCGGAGCGCACAGGTCAGAAGGTGACCGCCTTGGGCGGTTTCGAGCGGAGTGTTGTTGGCAATCAATACGAGCCGTTCAGCATCCGCCTTTGTCTTGTTGTATGCATCGAGAGCGGCATCCGGGACCTCCATCCGTTCATCAACATCGACGAGGTCTTCGCTCCCGTTGTAGACCACTCCGGCGCTCGAGGTATACACGAGCTTGCGCACGCCATGGGCGACACAGGAGGAGATAACGGTGCGGGTGCCGTCAACGTTTACTTTTTGATAGAGCGCGGCGGGTTGGCCGTGGATGGGGGACGCGGTATGAATGACGACGGTTGCGCCGCTCTGAAATTGAGGGCCATCAGCACGAGGCGAAACGAACAGGGCGTCATGCACGTACTTTTTGGATTGCGTTTCCAATGTCTTCCGGAAAGGTGATATCACCCGTGTAGAACG